ATGATGAATCTGAGGTGGTATCATCCTCAGGACTGTCATAGGTAGGAGACTGAGGGGGATCCGGTGGTCTAGGAGAAGGTTGATTGGGTTGATACAAGGGGCTAGGATCATCAAAAAGGGCAGGTAGAGTAGGTTGAGGATATGGAGCAGGTGGGGAGGGTAGATCAGTAGAGGTATGAAAGGGAAAATGGCCCTCATAGAATTGGACATCTCTTGATACAAAAATGTCATGAGTTTCAAGATCATAGATTCTATATCCCTTAATACCTGGAGTGTATCCAATGAAGACTCCTTTCCTAGCCCTAGGGTCAAATTTTGATCTGTGATTGGAGAGGGTGCTTGCAAAGCACAGGCAACCAAAGACTTTAAGATCATTGAGGTTTGGTTTGGTAGAATGGAGGAGTTCAAAAGGGGTTTTGTTTGCTAAGACAATGGTAGGAACCCTGTTAATTAGGAAGACAACATGTTTCACACAATCCCCCCAAAAACCTGCAGGTAAGTTGGCCTGAAATTTAAGTGCTCTGGCCACTGCAAGTATGTGTTGATGCTTCCTCTCAACTTTACTGTTTTGTTGGGGAGTTTCAACACATGAGAGTTCATGGAAAATGCCAGTTTGATGAAAAAATCAGTCATTTGGAACTCTCTTCCTTGGTCACTCCTTATCTTTCTAACAAAGGTTTGAAATTGTCTTTCAACATGAGTGCAAAACTGCTGTAATTTTGGTCTGGCTTCTGCTTTGGTTTGTAGGAGGATGATCCATGTCATCCTTGTGAAATCGTCCACAATGGTTAAAAAATACCTAAAACCATCATAGCTTGGAGTGGGGTTGGGTCCCCAAATATCCACATGTATTAATTCAAAAGCACTTGTAGTGACAGTAGAACTACAAGGAAAAGGAAGTTTCTTTTGTCTAGCAAAATGACACACATCACAGGGTAGTGACCTATCAGTTTCTATTGAGTTACAAATCTGTTTCAAGTGTGGAACTTTGGAATGAGAAACATGGCCAAGGCGAAAATGCCAAAGATCAAAAGACTGTGCACTCAGAGCTGTGATGTGTGTTGGTTTGGTTGGGGGGGAAATGTTGGTGATGTGGTAGAGTCCATGGGATAATTCAGCAGAACCAGTCATCCTCTTCTGCTGCATATCCTGGATCAAACATGTATTGGAATGAAAAGTTAAGGAAATGGACTTGTTTCTGGTAAGTTTGCTCACTGAAACAAGGTTAAAACTGAATTTGGGGACAAACAGGACATCCTCAAGTGTGAGATCAGCAACACAGGTAACAGTTCCAGCATGAGTTGCTTGAACTTGTTCTCCTGTTGGTAATGTTATAAACACACTTTGGATAGATCTAGGATGAACAAGGTGATCAAGGGAACAGATAATGTGGTCTGAAGCACCTGTATCCAGAATCCAGGTGTGATGGTAGGGGTAATTTATCATGTGCACTGAATGAGTATTTACCTGAAGAAGAACAATCAGTGGTTGTGAAAGCAGCAGCTGTGAATGAAGGGCCAGAGCCAGTGGATGGTTTCTGGTTGGTGCTGTCAGAAAGGAGTCTGAGGAATTTGTCATATTCAGCTTTTGTGAGCTTGATCTCTTGTTGGTTGTCAACAGGTGGTGAGGCTGAAGCAGTGTTTTCATAGGATCTCCCTTTAGCAGGTGCTCGTGGGTTTGCTGGGTAGCCACGCTTCACAAAACACCTGTCCTCAGTATGCCCTTGACGTTTGCAGTGAGTGCATTCAAGAGGCTTGCCAGTGGAGGTGTTGGTCCTTGGATTCATACCAGGGGGCCAGCCATGTTTATGATAACACACATCTTCAGTGTGACCATGAAATTTGCAATGAGTGCAAAATTGCCTAGCCCTCCTGGTTTGGAAGTTTCCAGTTTGAGCAGCCAAAACAGTAGACTCAGCAGCAAGAACCTTACTCTGTTGTGTCCCATATATCTGTCTTTCATGTTGAAGAACCCTTTGAAAGACCCTATCAATAGTAGGTAATTCATCTCCAAAAAGGACTTGAGATCTAACTGTTGTATAATTGTCATTCAAGCCTCGGAGGAACTGGATAACAGATTTGGTATCTCTGTAGAAGAAAACTTGTTTCATAGCCCTACAATCATTGTGCCTAGTGGGGGTGCAGTCACAAGGTTCAAGAGGCTGGTAGTTATCAAGCTCATCATGCAAAGCAATGAGATTGCCATAGTATTCTGTAACAGAAAGATTACCTTGTTTAATAGAGGCCAGATCTTCAACAATCTCAGCTATTCTGACCATATCTCCTTGTCCATATCTGGAACGAAGGCTTCTCCAAGCTTCATAGGCTGACTTGAAGGACATAATTGTTTTTCTGATGCCAGGCTCAACTGCTTGCTGTATCCAAGCAAGAACCATGATATTGTTCCTGGTCCAGGGCCAGTGCAGGGGACTGTCTGCTGCTGGCTCTGTCAAAACTCCATTGATGAAGCCAAGCTTATTCTTGGCTCCCAATGCATTCATCATAGCTTTACTCCAGTCGTTGTAGTTAGTGGTGGTTAGTTTCTCACCCACTAGCTGCAACCCTGGCTGCTCAGATCCATGGAGGAAATAGGGATCTGCCATGGGATCGATAGTCATCTGAACGTTGTTGTTGTTGTTGTTGTTGTTCACAGGAGGTGCTTCATTGTCATCAGCTTGCTGGTTGTTGATGCCAGCCTGCTGTTGAGCTTCCATGGCGGCTAGGGTTGTGTAGGCTCTGATACCATAACAACACTTTGCTGTTGGAAGAGAAAAACCTACTTTGATTCATTGCAATCCACAGCTTAAATAGCAAGTGGAGATGGTGTTCAGTGTCTTACAAAAGGGGTAAAGAAGACAAGCTTGGGTCTGAAGCAAGTACAGCCCGAAAAAGGAAAAACAGTGAGAAATAGAAGATTGGGTATCAAGTGGGAAGTTTGCCATTTCCACCAGAAACGACATCGCTCCATGATCGTTTAGTTGTCTCCCGCAACGGCGTCGCTTCGTCTTGAGGTGGTCCTCCTTCCTTCAACGGCACCGGATCACTGTGAGAAGAAGGTGGGAAATTCAGGTTTGAATTTTTCCCTAATACGCGAATTATGTACGCTTTTTCTGGAATCCGCGATTTGGCGCACCAAAGCGGGAGCGTGGGCTCAAGGCCCACGAATTGTGTGACCTAAGGGTGTACTCTCCTCACTTTCCCGTGAAGGTTGCTTGCTAAGTAATATAAGCATAAACTCTCATATTATTCTCCACTAGCTTTGGGCCCGGCCCATTGGCCGGTGAAGTATAGAACCGCGACTTGTATTGTGTCTCAATTGCACAGATAATTTTGCTTTCTTATCAATTTGTTGTATAGTTGTGAAACCAATAAGGAATCGTTTAGAGAATTGGAGTCTAAATCTATAGATTATAGACAATCAAAGATTTTAACTCTATGAATTGTTGAATTTTTTTTAAATGTTCATTGTTTGGTAATTACGATTGTTAATATCCAATGAAAAAAGAACTTATATATTTTTTTATTAAATGGGAATTTATTTTTAGATTGACTCGAAAAATATAGAGAATTTATTGATAGGGGTATTTAGTGGGATAGATGAAAAAAAAGAGATATGGGAGGGAGAAAATATCCAAAATCAATATGTAAATCTCTCTAATTATGAGAGATTTGATATCTTTAGATTTTAGAGATTTATAATTTTTGAAATTATAATCCATGATAAAAAAAGTAACAAAAAAACATATAACATTTTGCTAAATCTATGAATTCAATAAATTTATAATTCAAATCTTGATTCCCAAACCGACACCTAAATAGCTCTTCAAAAGTAGAATCATCAGCTTTAGCATAGATTTTCAGGTATATTTAGCCAATCCAAGCACCAAACATTCAAGTCCGTCACTGTGTCTATGTGCCAACCATAAGTGTCATTTATCCTTTTGGAATTATTCTGTGTTTATGAAAATGGGAAGAAGGTAAGGATTGTTAGTCACACAGAGTCAAGAAATAGATGTCAGGCTAAGCTGTTTCTTTCTTTTTCTTGCCTTTATCCCATTGACTCCAAAAAGGGGTTTTACTTTTTACTGTATTTAACCATTCAAAGGAAACTATTGATGGCGATCATCATATTTCGTAAAGTAAATGACCTTCCACCCATCAAATATGCCTCATCCATTCGTACAACCGCTGTAATTGAACAATGGGGTTCAAATGATATTTGGATCTATACCTTATGTGTTAAGTAGTGTATTAAAGGTTCCCCAACCAATCTTAGAAGATTTTGGGTTCAACTGCTACTAACATTATTTTTTATGTTCTTTCAAACCAGGATAAGATATTATTGGAGGATTTTGCCCAGGAAGCCACTTAGAAAACTTGTTTCAAGTAACCCCTGGGAAGGAATGAGTATACATGTTGCAGCATGATAGTGGCCAAAATTTCAAGTACTTGATTTCCCCTGTTTATGTGAACTTATTCAACCTCTTTACTTCCCTTTTGATTTCCTCGCTTGGTAAGCATCACCAAAAACTTATAAGATAAGGGGAAAGTAATCAAATGAGTTTGCTGGGTCATACTTATACCAATACCATAGTGCAATTAAGAACCTGTAACCCGCTAGTAGTAGCATTATTATGTACATTATGTGTAGAATCAACCTTTCCTCCCCATAATAGAAACAAACATACACAACATTATCTTATATATAATAGCGGACTACACTTTATTGCCCCTAACTTGCAACTACTGTTTCATTTTTTGTCATCTAGCGAGGGATGACTAGAAAATCTCCCCATCTCTTCAGTGAAATCACAACCAACCCTTCAATAATCTCTCATCCTCTCACCATTCCAAGCTGTAGGCTTTTCCCCACACGCCACCACCTATATCCTCACCTTACTCCTTTGGATTAGAGAAGACCTCTCTTCTCTGGTTCTTTCCTATTCAATTTCAGCGACACCTCCTCTTCTTGCATGCAACTCTTCTGCCCACCTCACCACCATGAACTACATCTTCCTTTCAAAGCTAGCATGGACGGCTGGAGACCCTAGGCGCTCCGGTTGGTTCTCCAAGTTATCGACAATGGCCTGTGGAACTCTGTCTTCCCTAATTTCATTGAGCGGCCATGCCTCCCCTTACCGTCCGTACGCGAAAATCTGCAGCTGCCCCCGTCTTCCTCGCCTTCCATCTTTTCATCAGTTCCCTCACCTTTTCCGGATTTTCGGGTCGTGGTTGTTGCTGCTACCCGGCACCGCCACCGAACCCTTTCCCAAACACGCCACCGGCCATGATTTGTATTGTACTTGGCCTGTTCAGCACGGATCCTGGCAACCCTTAGGGCTGATTGCTTTGGTTGGCTGTCCTTTCCCAGCTTAATTATGCTCTCTATTCCATTTTCGATTTCCTCTCCACTCCATTCTCGGTCCAGTTCTCCACCCCCGTCTCTTTCCAACCTTCGCTCTTCTGCTTTCATTCTCGGTCCAGCTCTTCACGGATGGGTTGAAAGGTGATATATTCTCTATTGATTTTCTCGATCTGCTCAGTGATTCATTTACCATCTGCATTCTATGAGACTCGGTGTACTTGGCTTACTCTATTGTTTGTTTCGGTTAAACAAAATCACCATTTAAGTGGGTAGAGCCACTCCTCATTCAACACAGCAAACTCAAGCCAAAGTTCAGGTTGGTTCCTTTCACTCACAAAATTATGTAAGCCTAACTTAGTCAGCTGTTACTCAGCCTTATGCAAAAGGAAGCAGTACACTGAGATGTGTTCTTGCTGCAGGTCCTTTTATCAGCCTTTGAATGACCACATTGTAATGTGAGGTAAGCTGGTTTTTATGAGTAATCGTTGTCCATAACATAACATTTGCTCATTAGAGTTAATTCCTGAGCAGAAGGCATTAAGAACTTGGTTTTCTGAATTACAGAAAATCATGAATGAGAAGAAAAATGAAATGCAGCCTCTGCAGCAGGCATTGGGGAAGCTCTGAAACAATAATAATGGTCATGGTGGTATATAGTCATCAGATGAAGAGCTCTAAGATCGTGTATATCACTTTAACTGGCGATTTTCATGGGTTTCATAAATGGGTTTTTTTTTTCATTGTTGCTTTTTCTTAATGATTTCGACAGTATGTTTATCCTAGAGTGTGCTGGTGCAGGGAGTGGTATCTCGACAGCTCACTAACCAAAGGCTCTCAATGTTCTGAGGCTATGATTCATCATCTCTACATTATCAGATTTTCATGCTCCTTCTCTCTCAATGTCAGTTTCTTTTCGTTGTTGATTCTTGGATGACTCATAAGGAAACTTTTCTGAACCAGGCTTCGTTTTTGCAGAGGGGAGATAGTTTAGACTGGTTGTTGGCATGCTGGTTCAGGCTGGGGATGAGATCTCTATTATGGTCTTGACAAGGAGGCCACAAGTGTTGACAATCTTTGACTTGGCACTTTTGATGTTTCCCTGATAACTATTGAAGAGGGTATCTTTAAAGTGAAGCCAGCTGCTGAAGACACTCACCTTGGTGGTGAGAACTTTCACAACAGATTGGTGGACCTCTTCGTTCAGGAGTTAAAGAGGAAAAACAAGGTGAGATCAGCCTTTTCTTTACTTTTCTTTTTCATAAGCCAATTTCCATTTCTCATCCATACCATGACTTTCACTAATTGTTGGATGTTGTGGCAGTGATGAATTGGTTTCAAACTTTTAAGCACAATCTGATGATATGTCTTGATTTCCAACCTCTGCTGCTCATTCTTAACTACCATGTGATCTCTTGGTTTGATAGTTGGAAGTTGTAGCTTTAGTTTTTAGTTGTCTTTTGATGTTGTTCTTTCTTCGCAGGAGAGATGCTTAAGAGTGTTTAAAGACAACTTTATTGACAAATCTAAAAAAGATAATTGGAGTAAGAGGAACAAGGAGAAAAGATGCTTCAACATCCTTCTTTTCAACTATTGTCCTGAATCATGGACAGCTTAGTGATCTGGGGGTTGAGATTTTGAGCCAATATTTTTGTTTCGTTTTTTATGAACTATTTACTAACTTAAGTAAGATGGGTATGGATTGATTGAACATGTGATATTAATGAATGTAATTTGTAGAAATATATTCTCTTAGTGGTCACAATCTAATGCTGAGTAGATCAAAAGAATTAGATTTAGCTAAGTTTAAACATAACTCTTTTAACGGAAATTAATATGTCATGACTTAGGTTTTGTAAACAATTTTTATGATATGTACTTGGTGTATATAATTTCTAACTACTTTTCTATTCTAACTATTGTATTTTCTATTCTAACTATTGTGGCGTAGCCACGGGTATTGATTCTAGTACACAATAACAATCAATGAAGCATATGTATTGGCTTCTGGAAGCTCTCAGAATAAGAAATTTACAGAAATGAATGAACCATGTGTATTGGTTTTTCTCAACCCTCTAAATGGCTCCCATCGGAAGATTCATAATAAGCAAATTACAGAAAACCTAAGGGTCTGTTTATTTTCATTTCTGTTTCCTGTTTTTGAGAAAACAGATGTTGAAAACAGGTGAAAACAACATTTTGTCGTTTCCCAAAACAGCAGGAAGTTGCCACTTTCTGTTTTCATAGTTGGAAACGAATAGAAAACAGAATTAAAAATAAACAAGTTTTCTCATTTCGGTTGTCAAATTTATCACATGAAAACAGAAAACAGGAAACGAAAACGGAAGTGAACAGGGCCTTACTATTTACCATCTAAAGCCCCATTATCCAGTCAAATCATTAGTTCCTCTTAGCCCTCAGAATTCATGTTGTCAAGAGCTATAAAGTACTCTGATGACAAGAGCTATAAAGTACTCTGGTTCATCAGATATATCCTATTTTGAACTCATGGCCATTCCAGCCTAGTAATCACTTCAGACTCAGGTGTAAGATCATGTATTAGAAAAATTGTAGATAATGCAATTGTTAAGCTACAAAATCAAAAGACCTCAAGCTAACAAACATATTCATATTATCATACAAAGCTAATCAAAAGGCAATAGAGAGCCAGACTTGACACTGAAACAACCTGTGCTCAATGATTCCAATGTACCATCGAAACAAAATTCCTTCTCCTAGCAAATGGGGCGAGACTTGGAATGACCTATAACCATTAAATTTAGAATACATACGAAGAGAGATTGAGAAGGGTATGAGCGAAAACGGAGCCGGCGGCGGGGTTTGGAAGGGACTTTTGAGGGCAGCATAGGGAGTTGGGGAAGCAAATTGAGGGTGTCGGATTGGGGGAGCTGCGAGATGTGTATGGGTAAAAAATGGTGGCAGTGAGTTTGCTAGGCGGTGCGGTGTCGAAGGGACTTCCGGGAGCGACACCAGCAAATTCGAGAAACAGGTTTAGGGTCCGGCAAGATTAAGCCATCAAGGTAACTGCGGTGGGCAAGAAGTGAGATTTTTTTGAGGGTTTGGTAATCAGACGGTGAGAGAGAGAGAGAGATAGAACGGGTGAGAATTTTTGTGCGAGATAAGAGGCCGGAGAGAGAAGGAATGAGAATTACCTGGAGGACCTTCCGTAGTGTGCGGTACATTGAGAAGGGGCAGACGTGGCAAACGCGATTTATTGACATTCCTTTATAGTATTTTGTAGATCAACTCTTTGAGTTGACATTTATGACACTATTAATTAACTTCATTTTTTAAAATCACAATTGCAATACATTTAATGCATATAAAGAGTAATTGAAATATTTTTCAAAATAATTCATGACTGAGCACTAGTCGAAACACACATTGTATATGTCAACAATACTTATGAAAATACATTATCACAAAGTTCTTCGGCCAACGAGCCGGCCCGCTGTGGTATGTATGATCTTTAATACATTGCAACACACCAATTTAGAATTAGCACGAAGGAAACGTTGACCAGAAAAGAAACAAACAAAAAAATGCCGGAAAGAAACTCAAATCAGTCCTGAAGCTGCGCTGCTGCTTCTCTCCCTATCCGAGGTTGATTTCCTTTGCTCTTCAGCATAAGGCAACACGCGGTCAGATGGGTGAGGAAATTGGGCGATCATGTAATCACTGAAGAGACAAAATGGCTGCAAACTGACCCCACTTTAATTAAATATCTACAAGCTGTAAAATAGATCAAATATCTACAAGCTGAATTTCTCAGCAGCCTTTAGAATCGGCTCCACTAACTAACCCTCTTCCTTTACTCCTAATTTCCAGTAACCCACTAAAACCCACTACCAACTAAACTGGAATAACAACATTAACTCTTAATCCTCACATGCTTGAGCACGTGAGTCTTTACTCCAACAAATCCTCGCCTAAACTGAAATCCTTCGAGTTTCAGTTTAATTACAAATGACAGCAACCATTTTCCACCTTCAGCAACAGCTACAACTTCAGAAACTTGCTGTGGCACATCAAATTTGCAGCAATGATAGCAGTTTAGTCTTGTCCAGAGAACCCTCTTCACACATCCACAACTCACCATGTATCCTTTCAAACAACCAGCCAACTCCATGGCTTTTAATATGATACTCATTTTGTGTTTGGCAACTCCAAAAACAAGCCAAATTTCTCAAGAAAGAAAACCTGAAATTAATGTTCTTACTATCCCCATGTGTTTTGGTGCCTACAACCACACTTCCTTTCAAACCCATTAGCTCTTGAGACCTTCTCAACCATACTGTTTTGAATACCATAAGTTGCTGCTGTAAACTCCTGCTGCTATAAACTCCTGAATGGTCAAACCAATGGCTTTCCTTTTAAAACACAAGAATCAATGACTTTAAGTAAGGAAAAACACATGTAAACTTGTGTTCTTCCTATTTTCTTCATCATTCTCAAAACCAACTCAGCAGAAACTCCTCATCATTATTATAGGTGCTTTTTGACCATTTTGATTTCCAATTTCTCTTGTCCCAAATGCCACGTGCCATGTACCCACAAAGCAAGCTTGCAACATACCAGATTCCATTTAGATGGATAAACACTCCTTTAGTACTCCTGTCAAACCAAGTTGGGTAGTCCATGTAGTAATGGACAAGCCACACCAAATGCCACACGAAATAAATGAAGCTCTCAATCAAATCATTACATTCCGTTGGCTTCACTTGGTACGCATTGTAAACTGATAAATGCTCCTCTCTATGAACCATGTGATTCCTAACAAAGATGCAGTAAAGCAACCACTCAAGAATCTGATTTGCTTGCTGCTTCCTTTCCCTTATCATGCCATCATACCAAACTGTTGATGCTTGCTGCAACTCATACAAAGTATATCTCACCTCAAAACGCTTAATCTCCTCCCCTGCAACAACCAACCCTTGTGGTTGCAAGTCTACTGCCTCTGTAGAACTTTGAGGGTTACCAGCAACTTCTTGCTCAATCACATTTGTTATAGGAACCATAATCCAACCTTGACCAACCTTAGATACTTCTGCTCTCAGAAGGTATATCATCTTGTTAAGTTCACAAAACTA